ATTTTAACCTTGAACGTAAAGAGTATGTTAAATATCTAGGGGTCATGATTGACAACCATCTTTCGTGGAAACATCATATTAACTATGTTGCGCTTAAAATTAGTAGAAACATCGGGATATTATCTAAATTAAGACATTTTGTTCCTCCTAAGACACTTTTCGGGATTTACAATTCTTTAATCTTCCCTTATCTTTCTTATGGCCTCGTTGCCTGGGGCCAGGCTGCAAAAACTCATTTGGAGAAACTCCTTACATTACAAAAGAGAGCTGTGCGCCTTATTAACTTCGCACCTTTCCGCTCTCATGCCGTCCCTTACTTTCTTCACTCTAATATTATCCCTATTACAATGCTCTATTTTAAGCTTTCTTCGATGTTAATGTTTGATGTTTACAATAACACTGCCCCTCATAATATTTCACATCTCTTTATTCCTACTCAACAAATCCACTCTTACAGCACTCGCTCCTCCTCTTCTGGAAATTATTACATTACCCACTCTAGACTAAATCAGAAAAATGATTCGTTTTCTATTATGGGAGCCAAAATTTGGAATAGTATACCTGAAAATTTACGAAATTCTTCAAAATCTCTCTTTAAGGAAAAAGTTCATACAATTCTATTGAAAATATTTGAAGTTCAGGATAGATATGCTGACCTAAACACGATAATCTCCGATTTTACAAAATATTAGCCCCCGCTTATCTAAATAGCTGCCTCGATTTTCTTATCTCAATTTCTCTTGTGACTGACCTTTTTAATTATAAATATGGTACTTTTTCACTTCAACTATTCGTAATAAATCTTAAGCCGTCTACACACCACCTGCCTCGATTAGCCTTGCTATTTGCAGGTGGTGTGATATTTGTATATTTAATGTAAGAAATAAAGATGTTGTTGTTGTTAAAGTGCCTATTTGTGTATTATTTTACACGTCAAGCTCAAAAAATTACCATTTTAACTTGATTTCTAATTCTTGGTAAAATCCAAGATGGTGGCCAAGATGGCAATCTTTGTTGGTGACGTCACAGGCCTCCAGCAGCGCCACCACGCATGAAATATACCTCATCTTTTTGATGATATCAAAGGCAAAATAGTTTTTCTGGGGAAGGGTTCCATCATCCATCATTGGAGGCAAGTTATGAAATACGCCAATATCCAAAAAAGCCTTTTAAAAATGTTTGTTAACTTTATGTTATCTCATGCAAACTGAGGACGATTACGATGAGGCACTCATCAATTCAATGAAATAACCTAGTGAGTTTTGTTCTGCCCACCTAGAATAGCCCTACTATTTGCGGGTAGCCTCTAACTAAGATAAAATTAAAACTTGATATCACAGTATATTATAAAACTACCTTTAAAACAAGTGTAGTTGAAGCATTTATCACACGATACATCATTCCATTCGTAACGATGAAGAGCACCAAGAGTGTGAACACAGTCTTCGTTCTTCCAGTCGTTCGGTTGATTCGGTGCCCAGAGTTCAAAATTACTTGTATCTTTGCTTGCCCACGCAAAGGAACCCTCCACACCTCGGTCATTGAGTCCGATCCAGGATCTTTCTCCGTTGTGACGGTGTTGAATGTAAACATTCTCCTCTTGGCTGTAAACCGTTATTAAATTGGAACTCATTGTAGAGCAGTTTGATTGAGCCGTGAGCCACGTGACGCATGCCCGACTTGTTAAGTATAACAGTAGCCATCAAAATAACTCCATTCTGTCTGTCTGCATGTGATACAAAATATAAAATGAGAGTGGGATAGCAAAAATTAAGATTGCAATTCTGTATAGTTGCTTTGGACGAAGGCAGCTAGTTTCCTCGTGAAAAGGCCGGCCTTCTTTTGGCAAAAGAGTACCATAGATCTCACTTGTGCTTTATACCTCCAGTCGGCATAAACGCGTTTATATAAAAAATAAAAAACAGTGCTTATGGCGGTTGAGTTTATGAAAATGACGTACTTGCGTGTCAAGAGCAAGCTAGAAAAGGACGTGCCTTATATTAGCTAAAAACAGATGAAATTAGAATACGGACGTACTTTGTTGATAGCCAGTCCCTTATTACTAATCAGTCAGTTGAGTGACGGAGCCGGGAATGGGTTCAGTGATCATTGACCGAGACTTGGGCTGAATCATTTTTTATCGTAACCTGTTTACGTCATGAAAAAAGTCGCTGCTGTTATCTAACGCCTTTCATTCGAAACAAGCAAACACCACAGACATGTCAACGTTCTCGGAGATTTTTACTTCAAAAAAGCACGAAAATATGTGACATTTGTGGCATATTTCAACTCAGAAAAAAATGCATTTTAAAAAGACCCTATTACTACTCTGTTCTCTCTTTGCCTTTAACTACAAAGTTGACACTGTCCTACAACATTTTAAGCGTATGACAATTCGTAATACTTAAGTAATGATCCAGGTAAGAAGGGAAGCAATTTCTTTTGTTGTGCGCAATACCCTTTCCTCACATAGAAATATTTTCATTTTTACGCAGAGAATGCATAAATCTACAAAAAGGCTGTTTACGAAAGAAAATGTATTTAAAATTCACTTTTAAATGGTGTATTTTTGTGTTAAAACATTTCGACCAATCATAAGAGTTGCAAACAATGGCCAAGAAATGTTCACAATTTTACATGACCCGCACATACGATTTCTGTGTTACTTAGACTCAGACGAGATTTTATTATAAGGAAGTTGGATAGAAAAAAAGGGATTAATATACATGCTGCTTTGCGAAGATTTCGTAAAATTTGATGTTTAAACAAATCAGAACCTTAGTAGAGACAATAGTAAAGTTAGCACCTTTTTGCATTCCGACGTGTTCACTGCGTTTTGGTCCTTTCCTTCTTATCTGGACCATTACTTAATAAAGCAAGAGGCTGGAATAGTTTAATAGAGTGTTTCAAATCACGTGCTTTAACAAGCTATTTTTTTTTTTTTAATTTTAAAGAGAAAGCGCTTATATAAGACAAGAATTTAACTCCCAGCGGGCTGCTGTAGGACACCAACATGGCGGATTTAACCTCCGGTTAAAATGGCTTGAAAAGGCTCTTCCTACGGTGTATTTTAGTTTTCCTTTTTAACCTCGATTTAGTTTTTAGTAGGTAAAACCTGTAGAATTAAAACGCGCCCTTACCTGTCATGACAGTATATGATACGGAAAGAGGATCATATTTTGAGTCGTACAATTCCTTTAAACACACTCGAGCCCCTGTTGTGTTGATGTACTGAAGGAAAGTAAACTTAAGGTTATTATCAAACATATTACAAATGCTAGTGTAAAGGGTACAAAATATATTACCATATCTTCGTAATGTTAACGGAACTAATGTTTGCCTATATATTTACATTTGTCTACAATACCACACTCACCTCAACCCACGCTGTTATGGAGTTGTGCATTGGATCCACGCCTCCCCCACTTGAAGTGTGATTCGCTGATACAAAAACACTTGGAGCATTCTTGTACACTTTAACAAAGGAAATATCCTAATGAACCAGAACAACAGATTTCAAACTTCGATGCAAAGAGGAGTTAACGAAAACAATACAAGTACGACGTATTAATATCAAACAAGAGATTATATGCTGACCCTACAGAATGCGTTATTGTTCCAGGCTTGAGGAGGCTGAGAGTTGGCAAAATATATTGAGTTGTGCTCCGAGAAAAAGGGCGTCTCGATTGATGAAAAAGCCAGCCAGTTCTATAACAAAGAGACGAACGGATAAAAAAGGTAAAAAAGAGAAACATTCATTAACTGCTAGTGTAATATGCGGTCGTACCTTTCTATCGCCTAAACAGGAAAAACGAATATGTCGAATACGACGTAGAAAAGAAAGAGAACAAAGAGGAAAAACATACAACGGAAATATCTTCATGTGAGCCTGCGTAATTTTGTAGCTCTCTCAAACATATCTTGAATGACGATAGCGAAATGTCTTCCAACCAAACACTGGCGGCGTCTCTCTTCAGTCCAGCACGATGATGTGCAGCAGTTATGAAAACTGAGGGTTGCTCTGGAACCTTACCACGACCAGGGGAGAAAACTTTAGACTGAAAAAAAAGAAACATGCGGTCAATTTTAAAGTCAAAGTATTATTAGAAGCAGGAATACTAGGCTCTGGAATCCGGAGACTGACAAAGAATCCGAAATCCAGTACCTTGAATCCGGAATCCACAGCATGGAGTCCAGAACCCAAGACTGTCTTGGATTTCCTTAAATGGGGCGAAGCTCGAGTTTGAAAAGGCATCTTATCAATTTATTTTGCAGGTGGCTTGGCATCTTGGGTATCTAGGTATACGGTATTTTGGTGTCAAAATGCGGGTATAGAGTATCTCGTTTTCCTGAATGTTTATTATTAGGATTTATGTTGACACAGTGATCGAAATATGTTCATTAGAAGTTGCAATATGCAAGCTTAAGGGGCTGGCAAATGAGGGAAAGCAGATAGCTCATGACCGAGCCGCAGTGCGATAAAAGTTGTACTCTTTATATGGCTGTGTTATCTTTCAGTAACTTGGGCCGAGTTGTTCAAAGTTTGGTCAAGATAACCCAGGCCTAGTGCGAAATTTCAATTCAGACATGAGAGCTTAAAAAGCAAATTCAGTTTAATTCTCCGAGAAAATTATCCGAGAAAGTGCTATTGATAAAGAGAAAAAGACACCTGGGTTAAAATTTAACCCTGGGTTAGTGCTAATCGGCCTTCGAACAACTGGGCCCTGGATAATTTTTAGTTATACGGCCGTGTTCTATTTCAAGGATTCAAGGCAATTTTAGATATCTGGAATCAAAGATTTTAGAATTTTAAGGTATATACTGATACATGTATCTTATGAAAAAAAATTTATTGGTATCCCACTAACCCCCTCTCCCGGCTTGAAAACAGGTAATACTTTCTCAACTGTGTATAGTGTTTAATAGACAAAGTAAATCATTGAGGTGTAGAAATTACTTACCGAAGGAAAATTCACCGTCTTGCATGTTGTCCCAGTCCACTACTGTGACATGCGCACCTCTCCAGAGACCCCACCAGCTGGGGCTCCCTGATAAGCTATCCAGTCTATGGACACATTAGCACGTGACTTGCGCTCGTTAAAACCTGCCGCCATCACGCAAGCAGTAAATTGTTCGATACTCACAGCAGCATCGTGGACATAGTTCATGTCCCTGGTATCAACGTGATTAACAGTTACCTGCACTTGGACGGGTTTGTCGGGATAGAACACGAATGGTCGTAGATGAATTACTTCACAATGCGAATACCCCAAGGATGGTACGTGAGGCATGTGAAGTCGCGAGCGCTGATATGGGAATCCTGGAAAGTTAAACAGAAACAAAACCAATTTAATGTAACTTTGACAATAACTGAGAGATTTTTCGCGTGCAAGGTGGTCAACAGCCACTGTGTGCGAGAAAATAGACAATGAAATTTGAAATGGAACCATGAGAGCGCGATATCCTTGTTTTAATTCGACGCTTAACATCTTTTTTTATAAATATAGATATAAGCATATCATAACAGTCTGTTCACAATCCCCTATTTTTTCGTAAGATCGTCAGGATCGAGCGCTTACTAGTACGGGCGGCCATCAGTGGTTTCATATGTACCCAGGGGGCGCGAGTCGGTGCTAATAGCCCTTGAGTAGATTTGACACTCATCCAAGATGACCCCTATTAACGCCAAGTCTTCGATCTCGACGATCGTTCGGGAAAATAAGGCTGTAATGTCTTAATTAACGTATTGCTGCTCCGTAAAACCAATTAGCTGACCCAAATCTGAGACAGGCGAATGGTATGTCATGAAGATATCAGGTTTATCGTTTTTTTTTTTCTTTTTAGTTTGTTATACAAGAAAATCGATTCTATGATTTGCCTTTCTTTTTCAGTATACTTATACTAGTTCACGGAATGTTGACAAATTGTGGTAAGAACTTTGAAGGGTGCCAACACACTCTCTCTTTCGGTCGATTTGTTAGCTATTTGTTACCCACAATCACATAAAGACAATTTAAAGGGCAAAGTTTAGGCTTATAATAAGTAAGTACGGCCGTATAAAGGCTGCCTCCTCCGCAGGCTTTCCCAAGGCTAACTGGGGATTGGGAACACACGAGAGCTGGAGACTAGCGAGAAGCGCGAGAGTTAAATGATGGGAACGAGCGTAGAGCGCACTTCCTTCGTCCCCGCTTTCCTTAATAATTAACTCAAATACCCCCCAAAAGTGATCGCGTGCGACTGGGGATGAGGCAGGTATATGGGGCTAACCTGGCTCATTAATTAAACATGTCCTCCTTAGTTACTCGAAAGAGCGCCGTCCTCGAATTTTGAATGCCGCACTAAGGACCATAGATATTGAAAAGCTCAAATTCTTCCAGCCATAATGCTGGGCCTTGTGATCTTTTTGTGAATATGGTATTATTTGTCTAGTTAACTTTCTCGCATACGTTATTGTCAGAAACGTCGTACACAGCTAGACTTCTAAAACCCAAAATGTTACAATTTTAACTTAGGGAACTTTTTTAAACTTAAGCTCAGTATACGTGACTTTCTTCTTAGCTGGAGCGGAAAGGGTAGCGGAAAGGGCACAAAGGCAAGAAACAATGGATACTTCACAAACATCCACTTCAAATGATACCTTCACAGCTCCCTGGATGTTGCACAGTGTGGTTCAGTTGTAACATACACATTTCCTGCTTATAGAAACAGTCGTTGTCAAACGTCGTACCATTGGAAGAACATACGGGTACTTGGAAGGATGGGCAACTGTCTATACACACGCAGCGGGCATCGTATGGTCCAAAAGCCTTGCACAGACCGTGATAATTACAGTATACGTCTATACAAGGATCCGGATCTGTTTTCAGCAATTAAAGACGTATTGTCAGTATCATTTGCATTTGACAATTGCGAACTGAAGAAGGAGAAGGTTCAGCTAAAAAATCGATAATTACGGTTACAAATGATCCCATTTGACACAGACACCGGATATCACTTATACTACGACACTGATCATCAGATCATCGGCCTCGGAAATATTTGCTGTTCAGTGGCACACATTAAGGTTTCCGTAACTGATTTCCCCCTAATTTATTCTTTGACTAGTTCAAGCGAAGGTGGAGAGAAGTTGTCGAGGGCCAGCCACTCCTTGAATTTTTGCCCCTTTTGTGCTAGGCATATATATCTAGCCGGATTTTTGAAAACGTTAGCGACAAAGGACCTTTTCCATCCAACAGCTTCTTTCGGCCAAAACTTGAACTATCTCCAAGGTAGCCATTATAAAAACTAAGAGTGTGCACTACCATTACTTTTTTCTCTTTTCTTACTTTTTTTCTTTCTTCGCTATTTCTTTTTCTCCTCTTCCTTTCCCTCGAGTAAAATCTTTTTGAGCCCAAAAAATCTGTCTTGTGATGCCTTTTCACTCAAATGACTGCAAATTTCGTCATGCTGGTTTTCAAAACATTGGCTAGATATACTTCCGTTACCTTCAATCGGCAAAGGCTAACATCATTATAGCTCTTGCTAACATCTATGGGCCAATTATTTAAACGGCGTTTAGCCAGTATTCAAGAGAAACCGCGTCGGCTAGGCCATTTCAATTTCGTTTTTCTTTTTTTAATGTAAAGACCATTTATTGTGACTAGAAAAGCATTTTTCTTCTTAAAATAACCCACTAACGAAGAGGCTAGATCTAGAGGTCCTCATTAGTGTTAACTCGACACTGCCTGATGTCTCACAGTTCTTTACACTCAGAACGTGTCTCGTCATTGAGTTTGATTTAAAGTATCAAATTATGAAATTGGATGTTAGAAAACTAAAAAGTAACCAGGGAGAGTAAAAAACATAACCTGCCTGCCACGCAGGCTGGTAAAAATACACTGAATAAACTTATAATTATGGAGTCATTAACGTCATAAGTGACACGTCAACAATACCAATTAAACAGTTGTTGTGATGATGTACTTGCGCTCTCTTTCTTCTAAATAGCGAGACCAAATTAAATTACGCGAAGGGTATTACTGAAACTTTAAAAAATAATGACTTACGCATACCTACCTCCAAAAACTAAGTAATCCACGTTTATGGTATCCTTGCTCTTTGGGTCGTAGTTTCTGACACAAATCTGTGTTTCTGTGGTGTTTGTGTACTAAGAACAGAAATTTCAGAGACAGAAGATATATGCAGGCAAAACTCGCAGTGAGGCGAACTTGTCCTCACGAAACCTTCTTTTTGATGTAAAACTGCAGTGAAAAATCTGCCGATTTCCATTTCTAGTACTGACTTTCCTCACTCATAGCTTGTTTATTAATATCATCAAACAGATCACGTCTGAAGGTTTGCGCTGCCTCACCCTGAAACTGAGCAGAGCCTTTCTTTCGTTTGCTTGATTTTGGCGTACTCCGCAAGAAAGACAGGGGCACCCAACGAGGATATAGTTCAAAACCACTTAACATAGCATTGTTGAACGCATTTTAGTATTTAAACGGTAGATATAGGCATATTTTTATCCCCTAAAAACTTTCCATCTGTTCGGATTTCCTAGCTGAAAGTCTGGTGATCCGAAAATTATAGGGATAAAAACTTACCTTGTCGAAAATTTCAGTCAGGAAAAGGCTCCCGAAAATTCTAGGTGGCCTTTTTTAAGGTCAAAATCCGTTAAAAATGGGTAATTATACCTAGGAGAGGCAGGCAAGCAAGAAATTTTACAACAAATGCTCCGAAAATTCTAGATCTCAAATCGTCTTCCGAACAGATATTTTCCCGAAAATTGCCGTTGGGTGCCCCTGGAAAGACTCTGCACAAAATGACAAGATGTTTGTTGAGCATGTCCAGCATGTTGCTAGAATATAGTTTTGGACCCAGGCCTAATAATTGTGCTCCTACTACAGCAATTCGCGTTCATGACCACCCGTTTATCAATCAGGGGCACCCAACGATGGTTTGCAATGAAAACACTTTTTAGGCTATTCAGAGGACTTTTAGATCTCTCGAAATGCAAAAAATTTTTATCTGTTCGGTCATCCTAGGAGGACGTAAGTCTATTCGAAATTACAAGGGTTTTTGCATCATTTTCCCGAAAATTTTAGGTGCAATTTAACGTTTTACGAAAGTAACAATTTTTCGGATTCCTCTCTCCATCACATTTTAGAATCCGAAAATTTTAAGTTTCTTTTTTTCTAAGAAAAATAATTTAACCTGGGAAGTATTAAAATATGAAAAATTAAACTTCAAAAAATCGTAGGGGATTTGATAGATGAGCTTCGAAAATTGTACATGAATGGAACGTTCATCTAGAAATTTTCAGCCGTCCTCAAGCAAAAGAAAAATACATTCTAAGCAACATTTGCTTTTCCGAACAGATCGTTTACAGAAAACAGTCGTTGGGTGCCCCTGATCAATAAACAGATGCTCGCACTCGGGAAAAAAAAAACAGTGTTACGAAGGGAAGCAGGATTGACTAGTCCACAATTAAATTTTGGCTGCGGCGACCTCAAATGTGTGACGCGATTCAAGCAGATCAGCTTCCTTTTCTCCTCCCCAGTCAAGAAGAAAAAATGAGGCTCTGCTCGCAGGGTGACGATGGCATAAGTCTGTTATACAATTCTACCTGTTTAATTTTTTTTTTTACCTCAACCCATGCGGCGATTGCGTCGCATCCAGAAGACTGCGAGTTGTTGTTGACACGCTTTGCGGTCACTATTACCACTGGTGGAGCATAGAGCGGCATTGTGAAGTTGATATTCTGTAGCATAAGCGATATGGATTGTTATTTGTCACTTTTTAGTTACTTTGTTTTCCAGAATAAGTGCATGCAGACATAAATGAATAACTACTTCAATAAATAAATGTATAACAAATGACATGAAACGATCACTATGTGTCATAAAATGACAAATAATTAACGGACATGATATTTTTGCTTGAAATTATTTAAACCCTGGTCTAAACAATCAATGATTAAATAGACATGGAGGGCTAAGTTAAATTGAAACCCCATCCTCCGATTTTTTTTTTTTTCAGACTCATAGAATTCTTTAACGTAGCCGGCACTATTTATCGTTGGTAAGAAGTGATGAGAATGACCAAACAAACTTCAACTTCGATCCAGGTGAGCAGGAACTGATATCACCAACCGATGCACATGTTAAAGTTTATGTAAAATATAAAAACATTGTCAAGACATTCCATTTTAATTATTAACATTTTTTCACCTCGCAAAAGGCCTCGTTATTTTGAGGTGGTGAGTTTTTGCTCCTTAGCACAAGACTCTCTGACAATGTGAAGTTCACAACAGTGAGGTTTGTATAAGCCATCCAGTTCTGAAACAATGGAAAAATCATATTAGATAAGGCTAATCTCATTTTTATTTAAAGATACAGCGATTTGTTTTTATGATTTATTTATTTATTTCTAGATGGATTGTTGAAAATGTTACAAGGTAGGAATAGCATTAAGAGAATCAGTGCACTGATGTCTTCCTCGTGTTTCTGACTTTCCTCCTCCATCTGTAGTGTGGCGTTCGGGGTTATCGGACACTTAAAACCTGCGTTTTGGCATTTTTTTTTTAAGTCTGTAAACTAAGAGCGCAATATTTCGCTAACTGCTTTATGATAGCTTCAACGAAGGAGCCGATTTTAAAACCACTTAGTATTTATTGGATGAGGCTGCGTAGATGTTATGTGGAATTATGCAGATCAACGAGGACTCGGCGGACAACAGTAGACTCACCTTGATCTGTATAATTATTTTCATTAAAAACTGAATCATTGGATAATGCAATTCTAGAGTTGTGATTAATAATAATAATATTTAATACTTATATTGCGCTTTTTCTATAAAAATACTCAAAGGCGCATTACAATATTATTAATAACTAAATTAAAAACCAGTAAAATTACACGGTAAAATTACAATATTTAAAAATAAATAAATAAATAAATAATCTAACTAAAAGCCTTCTTAAATAAATATGTTTTAACAGAGCGTTTAAAAGAGTCGATTGATGTTTCCTGTCTTATTGGCAGAGGAAGACTGTTCCATAAAAAGGGGGCAGCCATCGATAACGCGCGATCTCCCAAAGTCTTCTTCGTTCTTAGCCGAGGTCTTTCTAACAATATACCATTATTGTTACGGCGTAGTTGGTAACGTGAGTCCGGTAAGACAGAGACAAGATCCTTAAGATAGCTAGGCGCAACACCGTGAAGAATCTTAAATGTAACAAGGAGAATCTTAAAATCTACGCGCAAGCGCACTGGTAGCCAGTGGATTGGCTTAGCCATCATGGTATATGAGCCATTATACCATGCTCTCCAAACTATAACTGTACGCGTCTGCTCAAAACTAAAAACGAACTGAAAATCGTTTGCTTTTACAAATAGTCGGGAAGAGTTCTCGAAATTTTGTGGGCGTTTTTAATAAAACAGTTATTCCACTCGCGCTTGTTGGATATGAGATTATTATAGCCAACTCAGTACTTCGCGCCTCGTTGGCTATCTGCCACAGGGCGGATAAAGGTTGGGCGGTGAAACGAGCGCGTCCGAGCAAAAATGTGTGATGCAGTAGACTGGGACTCTGCTTAGAAATGTCGCTTGTTTTCGACTTCTGTCAGGGCTTGCGATGTGGTTTGTCCGTTAGACTCTGCCACTGACACTGAATTATGGCGGCTTGATTTGTTTTCTTGCACTTCTTCCTCGTTCTTTAATTTGTGCTGGTACGCTGTCTCTGAGAGGCAAATGTTGCTGTTTTTTGCGGGAGTTTTAATTGGAGTAGACAAACATCTCTTTCAAAGACTCTACCAATGAATTATATTTTCGTTCTACTACTCGCCAATGTCGATGTTATTCCAAAACAAAAACAACTAAGTACTGTCTAAAACACGAAGGAAAATCTCATCCATGTCATCCATGGCAAAACTAAAAGACAGCGGATCGTTTTTCATGACTAGATGACGTGTATTTTATAAATGCGTGCAGCTCGTGCAAGGGGAAATTATGCTAATTTCTGATCACCATCATCCTTCTTTTTAATTTTGAAAAAAACATATCATACGTCTTTCTGTTTCTTAGAAACTTCAAAATTAGTTTCCCCTCAGTTTTTACTGTTTACCTTGTTTTGTTTTAGAGAGAAAAACGGAGAAAAAACCTTACAACTAACCTCAATAAATTTTGTTTACATGCCCTTGCCGGATTTGCGACGCATTGCGCGAATCGCCATGGCGCTTTGCACCCGAGAAGCAAAGTTTGAAGGAGTACAACGCCACTATATCAAAATATATCAATCTAATTTTTTGTTATGTTAAATAAAATTTATCCCCCTTTAACATATGTAAAAATTGAGGTTAAGAAGTGTTAAGCTTTTGCAAACGAAACGGCGAAAGACGATTAGGTGATATCTAGTGGAAGGAGGAGGTATTCAACACTTTCAGATTAAACTCAAATTTTGGCATTATACGACCAACAAGTTTGACTTATAGGCATACAGACACAAACATATGAAACTGTTTATTGACATTGTTATGAAGCGAATTTATCTATTTAACATTGTAGCCTGAAATTACAGAAAGAAAATAGGATTTCCGGTTTGCAAAAAGCAAAATTTCGCCAACGTTCGAGCGCACCGGAAGCGCGGAAAGAGCGCTCGTGCCAGTTCTACTCCGCATCACACATTAAATGAAGGGCGGAGCGCTCGTTTCACCGCCCAACATTTATCCGCCCTGATCTGCCATCTCATATCAGTCCAACGCGCACTCGTGGAATAATTGTTAAATATATCCTTCGAAAACCGAATCAAACAAGTGTAAAAATTGAAATATTAATTCAAAATATTGTTTCCATCGACCTGAATTTGCGTTTTAATAACATTTCCCTGTTGCTCGGTAACTTCGGGAATTGTATATCTAGCTGAGATATTCTTCAAATAGTAGTCATCATGTTTCGCGCATGTGGCATTTTGCTGTTCTTGCTTTGATTTTAGGAAGCGTTAGTTTTCGCCATATTTCGGAGCTCTAGCTGAACAGCCGAGCTAAGTAAAACGCCTTCTGTTGTCCCCTTTTCTAAACAATCAATTATCCGTAAAAGTGACTCATTTTTTTGGTTAACGGAAGCTCGTTATGAAAGTTACCCGTGATTAAGCCAATCATAAACAGAGAAATACTTTAAACAAAGAATAATCCCTTCGAATCGCATTCGCCTTTATGAAGTGGTTTAATCAGAATGTTATTTCCTTGTGTATATCTCTATTTTGCTGCTTTGTGCAATGAGGGGCAAATGCGCAACATGAAGTCTCAGAAACCCCTGGTGGATAGAACATTTTACTCACAATTTTGATGCCCCTGTGAAGTCCATCAAAAATTTTCACTTCCCTAAGACAGAGTTTGAAACTGTGTTCTGTCAAATCCTCCACCCAGACTGCCATGGCGTCTTGAGGTCTCTCAGGAAACTGGTGACTAGGAGTCGCAAGTACGATTGGAGGAGTCGCAAAACGCTGAAATTAAATATAAATACAAAGGAGAAACGTAAATAAATAATATTTATTAAATTCCTAAGTAAGTGCGTTTCACAATTTCACCTTTTTCTTCATAATTAGGGTATTGTATTATTTTCCTCAAATACCAATTGAAAGAAAAAATTAGTTGCTCAATCTCCTCAAGAGCAATCAAGGATGATTATTATGTTAAACAAAGGCCTCACCTATAGCTCTCGCTGAATATGTCTTAGCGTACACTCTATGACTGCACGCGCGATCAAAAAGCAAAAGCAAAAGAAACCAGAGACGCGCAAAAAATTCTCTCGTCGAATACCATATATACAAACGCTCTTTAACTGAATATAATTTGAGAAACATATGGTGCAATTTTTCAGACTATTTTATCGGCAATTTACGTTTTCCGTTCTTATTGTTCCAAACCCATAACTCCTGCTATAAAAGCAAAGAATTAGATACGAATAATTGTGTTGAAATCATGGGAATAGGGTTGAGGTACTTTTCCTAAGGAGAGTAGGTCATTTTTTCTAGAGGTGTAACAATATCCCAAGATCTTACTGGGGTACTACTCATCGGGGGTAATGTTTACGTTTGTGAGGTGGTAATAGGCCTTTTGCATTAGTTGGTCACGTGATCAACTTTCGGTAAATACGAAAACACTTTGGTTTTGAAAAATTTTGTTAGCACAAGCTGAAAGAGCATTTTAAAATTAGGTAACCTGTATATTTTCATCCATATATCTCAAAAGTAGCGATCGCAACGGCCGTTGAAAATGAAATGAAGCGTTGAAGTGTCGAACTGTTATCGTGTTTACAGAAAGTTGATCACGTGAGCAACTGATGCAAAAAGGCGTATCGACTATCAAATGCTTGATATCATCCACCAGGTTATGGAAAGGTGGAAAGGGTTCCCTGTATGAGAGGACTTCATCCCAACTTTATCGAAATTCATTGCAACAGCGCAACTGACTGTGAGATGAGATTTTCCAAGAATTCTTTATTTGCCTCCAATTTCATATTTACGTAGCCTTGAAATATTCGCTTTGACGTTTGGTTGGTTTTAGATTCTTTGTGCCCGCTAATAATTTTAGAAATTAGCCAACAGTGTTCCTGAACAAATAAAACTGACTGGTTGTACTCTTTTCAACTGTTCATATTTTACTTTAACATATGTTGACTTTTAAAAGAATAATTAGTTTCAGCTGCCGTGGATAATGATTATTTAACTGTAGTCCGATTTACAACCAGATGACATCTATTCATAATAACACTTTTCACACAGGTACACCACAGTCGTTATAATCATTGCATTTTAGCTATATTTATTTACGAAAATATCGCTCATTAAGTTGTTAGTTACATACTGTAGAACCAACAGATAAATTTTGAATATGAAAGGTTTTGCTGTACATGTCTTGCAAATTTTGAAATAGATCGCGGGTTTGTGTTCAAGGTGAAAACTAGTAATTACTCTACCCTTCTTCCTGTTTAAACAGCCGATAGCTTAACTTGCAACTTT